AAAGTGGACAAATCTTTTTAACACAAATCTTCCTTCAAATAATTACCTGCTTTTTTCGGACCCACGTTCGTACACGTTTCGTTTCCCTCTCCAACCAATATGAGATTTCACAATCTATCTCTTTTCGGGGCTTAGCGTCTTCACTGACACACCGTCCGGTGTCTACCTCTGATGCCAGTTATAACAGCTCGAGCCTACCACTAGCAAATATTGTCCTCTTTGGACTTTCCTTTAAAAAAATTTAAAACTCGTATGCTACGGAGATGTTTCCACACTCTTATAAAAAATGTTTCCTTCCCCTGTCCAACCGATGTGGGATTTCACAATCCACTTCCTTTCGGGGCTCAGTATCCTCACTAGCACACCACCAAGTGTCTAGCTCTGATGCCATTTATAACAGCCCAACCCTACCGCTAGCAGATATTATTCTCTTTGAACTTTCTCTTCAGAGTTTCCTCTCAAAGTTTTTAAAACTCGTATGTTAGAGAGATCTTTCCACACCCTTATAAACACCCACATGAGATCTCACATTAACGTCTAGAGATTTGATAGAATCTCTTAACTCGGTGAAAAAGATTATCCCAAACTTTGAATCTATTTGTCCCTGTTTGTGGGTTATGTAACCTAATCTATACGTATTGATCACTTTGTAAATGTGTTCATTCGAAGCACTAACTAATCGGGTATTTTAACATTCAGAGATTTGATAGAATCCTTTTTAACTCGAAAAAAAAAAAAAAAAATTCTCCTTAGCTTTGAATTTGTTTGTCCCTATTTGTGGGTTGCCAACCCTATATAATGATTTAGATATTCTATGTATTTGATTAACAAAGAAGCCACATCATTTCCAATAAGGTCACATCCAATAGGGTATATATATATATTATATATATATGTACATAATCACTTCTTTAATATATAGTTTAGCAATATAATGAAGAATATAATTTGAGTGTGACTTCTCTCTTCTTACCACTATCTATGGTTAAACTTTGCCTTATTAGACGAGACTCTACCTATATATATGCTTCATTAATGGACCGATCTAAATAATTTAAATATTTCGAGTCCTTAATTGACTATAATTCGAGACTTTAAATTTTCATATCAGCTATGGGTCGGGTCGAGTCGAGCTTTAAAGCTTAACCCATTTTATTTTTATTTAATTTAAGAAACATAGCTTTTGTGAGCACTATGTTGTGAGTACAAATTTGTTTCAAGAGTGAGTACTCTTATCTTATAATGGTTGAGTCCATCCTTGCAAGAAAGGGGACAACTTTATTAGCACCACATGATTTATGGGTCTTCCAAATCTATGACCAATGTTTATTAGATATATACCTTTGTTTCCACTTCATGATTCTTTATCTTTTCTCCAATTAAAAAGTGATGTCTCTTTTTTTTTTTTTTTTTAATTATTTTTTATGTATAAATCGTCAGCTCGGGCCCACTGCTAACTCGTTTGTTAGGAAGATGTTTCCGAATCTCACAATCCACCCTCCTTGGAGGCCTAGCATTCTCGAGAGGCTGCACACTAGGCTCCAAATCTCACAATTCACTCCCCTTGTGGGCCCAGTGTTCTAGCACAGGGAGAAGTTTCCAAATCTCATAATCCACCTCCTTGTGGGCCCATGTTTTGCTAACACATCTGCTAGGGAGAGGTTTCCAGATTTCACAATTCACTCCTTTAGAGGCTAGCATCCTCGAGACGCTGCATACTAGGCTCCAGATCTCATAATCCACCTCTTGTGGGCCCAGCGTTCTCATAGCACTTACGCTAGGGAGAGGTTTCCAAATCTCACAATCCACCTCTTGTGGGCTCAGTGGGCCCAGTGTTCTGCTAGCACATCTGCTATAGAGAGGTTTTCAGATCTCATAATCTACGTCTTTGGGGCTTAGTGTCCTGCTCTATTAGGGAAAGGTTTCCAGATTTCACAATTCACCCCTTTAGGGGCCAGCGTCATCGCTGCACATCGCCTGGTATTTGGGTCTGATATCATTTGTAGCAGCTCGAACCCATTAGCAGATATTGTCCTCTTTGGGCTTTTACTTCTAAGCTTTCGCTTTAGGTTTTAAAACACGTTTGCTAATGACAGAATGCTTTGTTCTCATCTCCAATAGACATGTAAGAAAAAATTTAACAAGGATTAAAATGTCACAAAATAAAAGATATAACGATTAAATTGTAATATACTAAAACTTAGTAACTCAATTATTACGAGGATAATATAGAGACTAAATCGTTATAAACTAAAGTTCAAAGACTAAATTATTATTTTCATAAAAGTTCGTAATTAATAACTAAAAAAAGTTTAATTTCGAGTCATCTAAGCATTAAACAAGAACTAATCTCCTTTTTCCCTTTATGAACCAACCTAAACAAATTATGTCAATTTAAACACAAAGTCAAAAAATACTATAACCAAAATCTAATCACCAAAATCTATGGCCATATGGTGGAAAGCTTTTCAAGAAAGCCATTTAGAAAAGCTAATTAAACCGTTAATTATTCAATTAACATGCTTTAATTGCGCGTCTCATTCAAATCATACTAATACACATTGAAAAATCATGATGGTGCTAACCTAAGCTATACGACGATATGAATACTATATAGTTATAACATATGTATACTCGACACGTATTAATATTCTATAATCATATCATAGGGTAATTTTTATATCACGACATTATTTTCTTTATAGCCTAGATGCTACTTTTAGGGATGTCATTTGATTAGGTATGAAAAGATGGTAAGAAGTATTGGTTTCCATGTTGGCCCCATTACTTCAAATTTTGAGTATCGGCTATATTATTTCGTTTATGTTGCCCTGTTCGTGTTTAGATCATAGCTTAAATAAATGCAATTTCTTATCTGTTTAGATCATAACCAAACTAGGTACGTATCGTCGTCAGTCTCACAGTTTTAAAACATATCTATTAAGGAGAAATTATGTAACGTTTTTTTTTTGGGTAAAAATTATAATTCCTGGAGAAAGTCGGCAATTCCTAGCATTACAAAATCTAAGAAAATTAATCTAATCTAATCAATAACATTATCTTTGTGAAGTTGAAAACTTTGGATTTGAGGTCACTTATTTTATCTTTTAACTTGAATTTTAAATGAATTAATCATAACTCTTAAGTCTCCCCCACTTACCATAATATTATCAATCTTACTATTATTATTATTATTTAAATATTGTTTGCGAGGCGAAGATCGGTTTGAGATGGTAATTGATGGCTCATCCATTAACGAGAAAAAAAAAATGCCATATTTCTTTTTTTAAATAATTATAATTTATAACACCACATGTTTGAGTTATCGACCAAGATTTGGAGTTGAGATTCAGTACCAGATGATTCCAATATTCCCTGTAACAGTCTAAGCCCACCACTAATCGATATTGTCCGCTTTGGCTCGTTATGTATCATTGTCAGTCTCATGATTAAACTAGGGAGAAGTTTCCACACTCTTATAAGGAATGTTTCCTTCCCTTCTCCAATCGATGTGAAATCTCACAATCCACCCCGTTTAGAAGCTCAACGTACTCACTGGCACACTGCCCGGTGTCTAGCTCTGATACTATTTGTAATAACTCAAGCTCACTACTAACAAATATTGTCTGTTTTGCTCCGTTAAACGCGTCTACTAGGGAAAAGCTTTCCTTCCCTTATAAGAAATGTTTCGTTTTTCTCTCCAACCGACGTGGGATCTCACATTCTCATGCAACATGACCACGTTACCTATTTATCTTAAAGCGTTTTTAGGATATCGAATCAAGATTTAGTACTAGATGTTTCCAACCTGACAGTTGCGGATATGTTACCTAATTTATAAGGAACAAAACCCAATTTTAACGACGTGTAAACTAAATGTTTAAATGGAGAAGTATAGACCAAAAATCATAATTAGTGTTAACTTATTACCTTATATATTGGAATTTTATTTGGAAAGAAACAAATATCATATTGGGTGGCACTGGAATTAAGGGCATTTTCAACTGAATTTCCATTTGTATTAATTTTTTCAAAATTTTCTATAAAATGACTCGACAAAATAACTGTCCAGTCATACCACCTAGTTTGGTGGTTGAACTACCGAAAAAGAAATTTCATAATAATTATAAATTATTTTAACGCTTTTTTATCTATAATTTTATATCGTCATGATTGTTTCTATTCGAATGTGGTTTCGATTTATCCATGTAATTTTCGTTTGCTTGATTCTCCTTCGTTGAGGGAGGCAATGGAGCAGGTGACAGAAGATTCGAACTTCCAATCTAGTTAAAACATCAAGTTTGAAAACTCGAACACCAAAACGCTGCCAAACCCAGATCTCAAAACTCAAAATGTAACAGCTCAAGCCTATCATATCAGATATGGTCTTTTTTGGACTTTTTCTCTTGAGCTTCCCCTCAATACACCCGGCTGGGGCCATTATCTCCGACACTCATTTCTCTCTCCAATAAAAAAAGAATCTCACAATTCACCCCTCTTTGAAACTCAGCCTACTCACTAGCACATCACTCGTATCTAGTTTTGATATCATTTGTAACAGTCCAAACCCACTTCTGCTCGAAATTCTCCTCTTTGAATTGACCCGTTTAAGCTTTCTCGGAAGTTAAAAGAGAACAATATCTACCCACAATGAGCTCGAGCTTGGTTCATCGTAAATATGGAGTTTTGGGCTGTAAAGGCCATTATTGGAATTCACAAACATTTATTACACTCTTTCCGTGGGTTTCACCTCAATACCTCTCTTCCTCTCTCTTACCGACTCAAACAAACATCTTTTATCACCACTCAAACTAAACAAGCTACATCAAAACCTTTTTACCTTTATTACCTTCAAATTTAACAACAGAAGTAAATTATTTTTTTTTTACTGTCATGTTGTTTGATTCCCATTGGTGGCCTCCAAAAAAGTTACCACTCCAAAAAGGGTATATATATATCCCTCTTCAACACTTCTTTAATTGTAAAATTCACACATTAATTCCCATGGAGGAAGAAAAATCCCCCGCCCCTCTCCTCCACCTCCCCACCAAACTTCCCGATCACCGGAACCTCTCCGACCGCCCCTCCCAACCACCCGCCGGCGGGTGGAAAGCTGCAATCTTTGTCATATGTAAAAATTCCTTACTTCTTTTTCCTTTTCTGGGTCTCTCAATTTTCTGACAAATTTTTCATTTCTGACAGTCGTCGAGGTCGCCGAGCAATTTGCTTTCATCGGCTTGTCCAGCAATCTCATCATGTACTTCACCACCGTCTTCCATGAACCCACCGCCACCGCCGCCAAGATGGTCAACAACTGGTCCGGCGTCTCCGCCGTCTTCCCAATACTCGGCGCTTTCGTCGCCGACTCACTTCTCGGCCGGTTCAAAACCATAATATTTTCCTCTCTTATATACTGCCTTGGAATGGTGCTGCTGACGCTATCGGCGACGGTGATCGGAGCCCCTCACCGGAAACCCGTGTTCTTTTTTGCACTGTACATTTTGTCGGTCGGAGAAGGCGGCCACCGTCCTTGTGTCCAGACGTTCGCCGCCGATCAATTCGACGAGGAGACGCCGGAGCAGAGGAAGAGGAAAAGCTCGTTCTTTAATTGGTGGTATGTGGGCCTTGTGGTGGGGTCCACTTTAGCTGTCTTTCTGGTTATTTACGTTCAGGTATTGTTTTATTTATTTATTTATTTAGAAGTGGTAACGTTTTATTATTTATTATGGCTGTAACAAAAAGACAAAATATCACCGAAAAAAATCAATTAAACCGGCTCAATTTGATACCGGCTTATTAAAATCGGTTCTGATCGACCGGCTTCCGGTTTGATTAAAAATGGGTTCAAATATGGGATGACCAAAATTATGTTTTTTTTTTTATTAAAAAAAAAAAGAAAAAAGGGAAAAATTTTACTTTAAACTTTTTATTTATGTTGGGACAAAAAAAAAAAAGAAACTTTTTTGCTTTAATTCTTTAAATAGGCATTGGGATATGAATAGCGAACAATTTTAGAAAAAAAAAAAAGAAATATTATAAAATTTAAAATTTGTTTAATATTTAAATATCTAATTATCTCAGTTTTTTTTTTGGAACGATAAAAAAAAAAAAAGGATAATATCGGATGGGGACTGAGTTTTGGAATTCTAGCCGGAGTTTTGGCGGCGGCGTTACTACTGTTTTTGTGCGGAGTGAAGGTGTACAGGCGCCATATTCCGGTCGGAAGTCCGATGACCAGAATAGCACAGGTGGTGGTGGCGGCGGCGAGGAAGTGGCGCGTGGATAATACGCGCCAGGAATGGAGAGTGTGTTACGAGGAAGATAGTCATGCCAAAAATGAGGATGAAGGTCAACACAAGCCTATGACTTTGGATCGCAGAAGCCAATTCGGGTATGTCTTAATTTTCATTCATAGGTCAACTCTCTTTTTTTTTCAAAAAATAATAATATTTTAATATTTATTGTTTTTTTAATTTTAATTTTGTTTTTTAGCCTAAGTTTCCATGTTATTTAATGAAAATTTTAATTTAATAAATTCTTAAATATTAAAAATATTTCATAAATATATAAAATTTGAATATTGTGTTACAATGACCTAAACGTCGCTTTTTTATCAGGCTAGTTTAATGTTGTATTAAACACAATATGATCGCGTTTGAAGCAGGATTTTGGATAAGGCGACTTTGATAGATGATGAGGACAAAGCGAGAAAGAAGCGAGACCCGTGGCGACTAAGCACGGTGGCGGAGGTGGAGGAGGTAAAGATGTTGGGACGGTTAATTCCGGTGTGGTTTAGTTGTTTAATGTTTGCAGTGGTTCAAGCTCAGATCCACACTTTCTTCACAAAGCAAGGCTCCACCATGCTCCGCTCCATAGGCCCCCACTTTCAGATCCCACCGGCGTCTCTTCAAGGCGTCGTCGGCCTCACCATCCTTCTCACCGTTCTTTTCTACGACCGAGTTTTTGTCCCCTCTGCTCGAAAGTTTACCGGCCACCACTCCGGTAAGTACGGAATATAAGTCGAAATTAGGTCCAATTTATAGGTTGAGGAAATGAATATATGTCGATTATTAATGTTTTGTGTAGGCATAACGGTACTACAAAGAATAGGAATAGGCCTATTCATCTCAATCCTCAACATGGTCGCCTCCGCTTTGGTAGAGGCCAAAAGGGTCGCTGTAGCCGCCGAACACGGCCTCATCGACACTCCAAAAGTGACGGTTCCGATGACAATCTGGTGGCTAATTCCACAATACATGCTTTGTGGCGTCTCCGATGCCTTCGCCGTTGTCGGTCTCCAAGAACTTTTCTACGACCAAATGCCCGAATCCATGAGGAGCATAGGATCTGCGGCGTACATCAGCGTGATCGGAATCGGGAACTTTCTGAGCACCGCCATCATCTCGGCAGTCCAGGCGGCGAGCCGCCACAAATGGCTGGTGGACAATCTGAACCGTTCAAAACTGCAGTACTTCTACTGGGTTTTGGCTGGTTTGAGCGGTTTGAATTTGTGTTGCTACATTTGGGTTGCCAATGGTTATGTGTATAAGAGAGTTGGAGGGAAAGATGGTGAAGATCATGGGAAGAACAGCAACAAAGGAGGCTATGGAGATGACATCATTTGAAGATTAATCATTATCATATGATTAGAGGGAGAACATATAATTATGAGATTAATCTCTCTAATCATCATTTAATGTTGTTGTTGTTTTTTTTTTTTTTTTTTTTTTTTTTTTTGGGATGTGATAATATTTATATNTCAAAAGATTAGTAAAATGAGTCAAATTCTATACCATAATTACATTATTGAGATAGCGATTGAACCGCACTTGTTTTAACCAGCGAACAAGTCGGTTGTGTAAAATTGACTTCACGGACTATAGTAACATAAGTTCAAGTCTCGGGTCATGTTTGAGAGAAATGTTTTAGAAAATGTTTGTGAGGAAATAGGTTGAAAACAATTTAAAAGAAAATAATGTTGTAAGCTAAGAGTAAGTAACAACGACGACTTTGATAGCATATAATTCGGGTAGGAAGAATTGACAACTAGTCACATCCCTTATAGTATATTTTGGGGCATTTTAGCCCTGGCGGGTGTAGACATGATTTTGATGATCGAACATGCACCCTTGTATTGACACAACAGTAAATAATAAATGTCTATAAAAAGGGTTTGGAACAGGCATGCAGACATGGATAATACGTCTTGGACAAGCATAACTAAGACATCCGACATGCGGCCGCATGTAACACGCTTTGGACAAGTATGACTGTGACACTTGTCAACATTTTAATAATAGTTCGACTCAAATGACAAATTTGAAATTAAACTAAAATAAAATTAATAAATTATTAACTAATATCTGGAAAAAAAAAATCCCATCGTCTGGAAGATAGTGCAAGAATTTCATTACATTCTCCACTTTTATTTTATGGTTTTCATTTATTTTATAATTCATATTTATTTATATCTCAAAAAAAAATGTGGATAAGTTTGAATTGAATTAATAAATTAGTTAAGATAACACTAAAAAAAATGTTTCACATGTTATAAAACACTTGAAAAGAATCATTTTCTTTTTTTATTGGCCAAAAGAGTTAGGATTGGGTCATTTTCAAATCTCTAAATTAAACCCATTTTTTAATTTATTATTTAGTAAACAAATGCTCGAAATTTTTCGATCAAAACCCTATAATATTTGATCTATCGTAATATACCTGATTTCATATTTTTCGTTCAACTATTTAGGAAGAAAATGAGGACTAAAAAATTGTAGATCTCTTATTTCGTTTTTATGTTCAATTATGTCGCCCTAATGTAAGTTTTCATCACAAGATCTAGCGTTTGATGGGTTCCATGTCCACCTGACTCAGAGAATGCAACTGGTGGTTCGTTCGTTTTAGTATATATTTTGGAGTTTGTTTAGTGTGGCAATATTGTTTATTAGTTTTTATATATTTTTTTCTCAGAGTTTTAAAACAATAAGAACATGCATTTAGTGAGGATCAAAGTCGGTCTAGATTTAGAAAAGTCGGGTCGTCACATACTATGACACCTTTTTTTTTTCTTTCCTTTCTCTATTCAATTTGGATTCTCTTTTTCTTTTTTTCTTTTTTTTTCTTTCGATAAAAAGAATAAAACAAAGTTGAGATGTGAAGCTATGCCTCAAACATCCAATATTTCAAACCTAATAATTAAACTCCCTCTCTCAAAATATTTTGTTTAAATAATTTTTCAAATATCACCATATTTACCAAACCCTAAATTTTATTAAAAAAAATATATTTATTTGATATATATATATATATATATATTTGTCAATTGGGAAGGCCTCAAATTTCTCCCCCACCCAAATGAATATCAATATTTTACCAAAAAAAAAAAAAAAAAAATCTTAATTTCTTTATACAAATCCAAGTTGAATAGTCAAAATGCATCTTAATTTCTTTATATATATAAAATTAAAGATAAACAGAAATTAAATGAATTAAAAAAAAAAGTGAAAATCAAGAGATTTTATTTTAGGAGATTTGGATAAAGAAATTTAATTTAGTTTTTATCAAGATCCAAAACTTATTAGGAAAAAAAAAGGAAAAGAAATTGTAAAAATCTAAAAATTTGATGACAAGAATCTCAATAATTTTGGAAAATAAGATCCACTGGAATTTGAGCTGAGAAGGTGGCTGGCCACTGCATGTGCTTAAAGATTAAAGGATCACGCTCCTACGGTAGGGCTGTACTCCCCTTTTGATTCCATCATAAATAAATTCAAATATATTTTTTTTAATTTTATCCTCTTTAATTATTATCTTAATTTATTCTCTTTCACATTTTTCAATTTTCATTATTCTTTTTACCCGACTTACATTCATGTCGGGTTTTAAGACATTTTCATTGTCTTTATCCATTAAACTATGTCCGAGCATATATATAATACTCTATTGATATCAACATCGGCACTAAAAATAAATCAACATAAAAAAAAAAATCAACAAAATATTACATAATATAAAATATATTAACACTAATAATATCCATCAACATTTGTATTTAATACGGGTTTAGATAAGATTCGAGATGAATATAAATATGGTAAGAAAATAAATAAATGAATCAACATTATTTCAATCAAAACCCAACACATTCATTAATTACCTAAAAGTTAAAAAAAAAAAATAGAATGGATTATTAGTACCATGAAATGAAGAACTAATTAATAGTTAATGATTTGTTTAAATAAAAATTAAAATTCCAGTAATAAAGAGAGGGACTTGATTTTTTTTTAATATAAAAAAAAAAAGACTTTTTTCAATTTCTCAATTATTTTATACTTTGACTATTTGGGTTTTTTTTCTTTTCTTTTGGGTGGAAGAAAAAGAAGAAATCAAAGCAAAGCACCATCTTCCTTGCTTCTAGTTGAATTCAAACAAATCAAACCCTAAGAGATCCGCGAGATTGTGTAACAAAATCTGTCGGATCTGCCTTTCCAAACTGTCAAATTTTTCAAAGGATTTCGCCATATCCCATTCTAATCTTACGCCATGCCTTCTTTCTTCTTCTTCTTCTTCTTCTTCTTCTCCATTTATAAACCCTATCTTCTTCCTCTCCTTCTTCGCAATCCCCTTTCTGTACCTTCTTCTTCTTCTTCTTCTTCTTCTTCTTCTTCTTCTTCTTCTTCTTCCTCCAATTCCCATGGCCCTTGTCTCTTCTAATGCTCAATTCCATGTCTTGGCTGTCGATGACAGCCTTGTAGACAGGAAGCTGATTGAAAGGCTGCTCAAAACTTCCTCCTTCAATGGTACTCTGCCATTGAACCTTCTTCTCTCTCTTTCTCACTCTCTCTAGGGTTCTAAGAATGGCTTGAATTTAGGCTCTAAACAGTTGGTTTGGTTTTTTTCTTTTTACAGTTACGGCTGTGGATTCTGGAAGCAAGGCTTTGGAGCTTCTGGGTTTGGTTAGAGAGAGAAATGGAAGCATCCATTCTCCTTATTCCCCTGAAAATCATCATCATCAACATCAAGTTAAGGATTTCCAATTTGGATGTTTGTTTGTTGTTCTTTTGGGCATTGTTTTGATTTGTTTTGCTTTGATTGCAGGAGATTGAAGTTAATCTCATCATTACAGATTACTGTATGCCAGAAATGACAGGCTATGATCTTCTAAGAAAGATCAAGGCAAGTTTCTTCTTCTTTTCAAGACATAAGGCTTAGTTTTCTTACTTTCCAACCAATTTCAATCTGAAAAGGAAAATCCTATCTGGTTTTGCAGGAATCTGACTCACTTAAAGACATACCTGTCGTGATTATGTCCTCTGAGAATGTTCCAGCAAGAATCAACAGGTGAGGAGGGAAACAGCTAGAACAGGAACCATTTTGTTTCCAAGCAAATCCAAATCTGAAATGATAAACAACCAGTAAATTCATGTCAATCATGTCAATCTGAATTGGGTTTTGGTTATTTGTTTTGAATCAGATGTTTGGAAGAAGGAGCCGAGGAGTTTTTGCTGAAACCAGTGAAATTATCTGATGTCAACAAGCTTAAGCCTTTCATATGCAGAGGAAAAGCCAAGGAAATGGATTGCAACAATCTCAAGAGAAAGGAAATGGAACAGAGTCAATCATCTGAGAGAACAAGAGCAAAATACAATGAACCTCTCTAAATCTAAACTTCCGGCTTACATTATCAGTTCTTAGAGTTAAATGACCATTATTATGTACTTTCTAATGTTACAAGAGTGAATCATTTTGAGTGTCTGAATGTACAAAGTTGATGAAACTTCGGATTTTTAGGCTTAGAAATCTCATTATTTTGTAGTTTAGATATCTGTACTCATGATTCGATCTCTACCAAAACAAACAAACAAAATAAAGACATACAATCTTGTCTTTTAATTTTCCAATTTTGGCACTGAGCCACTAATAAGATTGCTGAATGAATTTGGTCAAGATTTGCTTGTTTCCAAATTCTCCACGAAACTGCTTGTCAATCTTGGAAGAATTCCAGAGGAGTCATAATGGGTAAATTTGAGATTTCATATCTCAACAATGAAAAAGGAAAAAAAGAGTTCTCAAACTTTCGAAAATCTCGACAGAAAATTAAATGTTCATGCTAACACGAGCATACATTTACTCTTAATCAACATGTCCACGCCAATACGAGCATAGCTTAATAGGCATAGAAGTTATAGGTTTTAAACCTTCATCCTTCATGTTTTGAATCAGACTTCTCATTTACCTAAAATAATTAATAAAAAATAATAAAAAATAACAGAAGAAGAAGAAAGAAAGAATCAGACTTCTCATTTTGATGTTTTAATAATTGTCATTTTCTATTTATCTTCATCTCATAAAAGGAAAGGAAAGAAAGTGGAAAGATCTTGAAGATTGGAGAGAATCTGCAAGATATTGGAAAAATTCTCTTCCTTCTTCATATTTGCCTTGTTAGAATAAAACCATTCAATCTTGAATCAATATCGAAGATCAAAAAGACACTCATAGTAAAAAATGCAAATAGAGTAAATAAATTCTCTTTTAGAGCGTACAAGAGACACTAATGCTTGACCACTAAGTTAGGTTCAAACGAAGCTAAGAATTACTAAAACAAATAATATAATAACTCAATATTTAATCCTAGTGAAAGTAATACATTGATTCTTATCCACAAAAGAGTAAGAAGAGAAGGCAAGAAAAGTAGCTAGCGTGTAGCCATTGTGATGTTGGTCAAACTTCCAAAGTTGAGAGTGCCTATTGTAGTTTTTGTGGTGTGATTATGACAAAAAGATTTAGAGAAAAAAAAGGGTAGAAAAGGAACTTCAATTCATTCTTCTTTCTTTTGATATATATATATGTATATATTAACTTTATTTTGTCAGAAAGTTAGTAAAAAAGCACTAGCACTGAGGTTATCCATTTCTATCCTTTACCTAAAGATAATTCATGGTTACTTCTCAATAAGATAATGAAGTACAGAGATCTTAGCTTTCTTGCAGACTAGAAACTGGAAGCTCCTCAATCAACCAACCTTTCTTGGATGCTTGCCCTAATTTCAATCTTTTACATACTGAATAAAGCAAATGAGAAAAAAGAAGTTAATTCACATAGATATAATTTATAAAGCACAAGATAAGTCAGGCTTTGTCAGGAATACGGTTAATCGATCAAATATCTAACCAGAATATTTATTTCCATCAATTTGGAATGGTGATTTTTTAAATGGTAAAGTTTGCAGACACATTCTACCTCATATATGGACACCTTTCATTCTTACACCAGCAGTATTACAACCTGAGCCAATATTTCAATGGCTTAGCCAACTTATAAGAGCAGAACAAAAATTGATGATTAGTGTACAATATTCCCTCCAAAAATCATGTGTGGGAGCAACTCAAACAAATAAAAGTCTAATATGAATTCGAACCTGGCCTGCCATCTGCTGCTATGACCAGGAATGGATTTGTGAGGGAATCAGAATCACTATACCGGACAACTCTGTTGGCGAGCTTTATTTGATTCCTACAGCTGCGTAGATCTCATGAGACCTACCCCCCATTACAATAAAAATGCTTTGCCTTTTCGTTTGCTATGAAGAGAGTCAGCATCTTCCATCCACCCAGGAGCTCACTCCATATTTCTGCCCATCGGAGACTACTCTACTGAATGATACACATTTTGCAGATCCAAGTTCTTCTAAACCTAAGTAATAACAATATGCTGATTGAATTCTTTAGTCTTCAGCAATAACTTGGAACTGGAAACATAATGAACATACACGAACTATTTCTTGATTTTTATGAATAGAATTTGAGCCACTGCAGACCCTTTGCTTCGATCTTTCCCTTCAAGTTGTGATACCAATCTTATCATAATGTCTACAGTAACAGCAATAAGATATGTCAGAGAACTGCACTGTACAATTAAATATTCTCTACAGCCTTTTCCATCATAGGATTTGTCCTCACAAACTTGAGCTGAGAAAGATAATTGCTCCCAGCAAAATCATGCATTGAACGATGAGCACGTGGTCCTTCATAATCAGGCTTGCTAAATTCTTCCTTCATTAATCTTTTGCACTCATCAGTATCCTTCATTTAAAAGGGGGGAAACAAAGCATGTTGAGAAAAGAGTAAATAATGAGGTTTAAAACATTAAAAAGAATGACCTGGAGCGTTTCAGAAAAATCAACCATTTAAGGAAAAGAAAAAATCAATCATAGAATGTGCAAAAGAGAGTTTAGTCTACATAATCAGGCCTTCCAAATTCTTCCTTCATCAACTTTGATTCTTTTTATTTCAACAATGTTGGTGGAGATATGAACATTTAGCCTTTAAGACAAATGAATAATGTGGGTTATCTTTTGCTAAACCCCACTGGAGAGGTTAATATCTTGAACATATTCAATAGAAAAATCCTAGATCAGCCTCCTCCAGAACTAGTATTGTTGATACCAAAATTGTGAAAAAAAAGGACCAGGTGCTTTTTCTTTACTTTTCTGGACTTCTTCACAATATGTAGAAGAAGATATTTGGGGTATCTAGGTATGACCAATAGAATGTTCGGGCTCTCTTCATCCAGATGCATCTTAGCACTTAAAAATAGAACGGAAAGGGAAACTTTGTATAAGGTTTTTAGGGATTTCTTTAATTTTAAGCCGTTATCTTTAAGATGTTCTTTGGGTCGTGCCTCATACAATTAAAGAGGCTTAAAAGTGCATGTTTTCCACTTTAATAGAAGGTTTCTTGCGTGTGAAACAAAACATAACAGATAAGAAAGGTGTGCTTTATCAAGAATGAGGAACCGAGGTCCTCAAATCCTGATAGCTGAACCTTTGAAATCAAAGACAACTTCAGTAAATTCTTCGGAAGAAATTGCTGTAATATAATTATACAAGCATACAGGTTTTTGTTTTTTTAAAAAAGAAACCAGCTTTTATTAAGATAAATGAAAGTAAAAAAGAAAAAGAGGCACCTACAAAAATGAACAGCCCAAGCTCAAGAAACAGGATGCAAAATTACAAAAACTAGAGCACATAATAATGAGATTGTTAATACTCAAAGCGAATTGAGCATAACTCAACTGGCAAAAAGTGTGTACTTTCAACTAAAAGGTCTCCGATTTGAATCTCCCCATCCCATGTAGCACGCACACACACAAGAAAAAAAAAAAGAAAAAGTAATAACAAGACTGTTAATACCCAAGGCAAGATCACTACCACTACTATTTCAGAACGTATGGCATACCTGTAGAAACTGTACCATTTGCTCTTCAATTGTTTCATGCATTACTAAGGTTTCAACATGAATAGGACGAGTAGCACCCATCCGATGAGCACGACTAATCACTTGTTCCTCCATGCTAAAAAAGAGTAAAATAATTGAGTGAATTGCTATAATTGAAAACAATCCTATGTCAAGCAGTTAAAAAAGAATACTGCGCAGCCATGATGGATTAGTTATTAATGCTTTATCTTTTGAGTAGTCAGAGCCAAATGCATAGAAATATTGATCCATTACTTGGATTAAAAGTGCAAAATGCATGACGATCTGAAAATGTATGGGATGGAAACCAAGATAACATTCAAAGAAAGATGAAAATAAATAATGAATTAGCCTGTTTTTTCAAATATTTCAAGATGTTTAATAACAGAGGTGTATAAGGGAGGAAATAAGTAGTAATTCACTCTAGTGCTTTAGAAGCTTAATACAAGACTATTTGGAAAGAGGAAAGATTGTTTTTTAAAATTAACCAAATGAGGAAAAAGTGTATTAATCACTCACAAAATTAACGAGGCCAAGATCAGCTCTTATGTTAAAGACATAATTGGCTACATAAAGCGACAATTCATCATCATGCAACATCCCCCTCGTTGAACTTTTTCATTCTTGCAAAGCAAATTCAGATCGCTAGGAAAGACTTCTTTCAGAAAGGTTTGGATTCAGAGAAAATGTTTTACTACTTGCAAGGTTAACTGTTTTCTTATGGTCTAAAATATATCAGCAAACTAATTGCAGTAGATGAGTCGTGAATCCAGACCTTTCTAATTGTTAATTGCAGAAAAACGGTGGACTACAATATATCAGCAACAATAAGGAAAAGCTACATGCCTAGTAAATCTGATTCTTCAAAGTGCAAACTAATTGCAGTAGATGAGTCGTGAAAAATCCTCAGGTCGCAGCATAACTAACCGAATGAGAAAATTCAATCAACTAATTTAAGACCTATCGTTCAATGAAAGTCTGCAGGACTCGACCAATATTTTTTCTCATTAACCACTTTCTCATTTAGCAAAAACAGATTCATCCATGCTCAAACTACTTGGAGAGACACTTTCACTATTTACTCTCTCTACCAAGTTTGAAAGTTCTTGGTATCCCTATATATGGGTTGTATACTTGAAGTGATAAGACTTCATTCAGATGAAAGACAGGATGGTCAGGATTCTCTCTCAAATAAAAAATCAGATCTGCTGCAAGAGTATTTGAGATGGTGAAGAACAACTTATTTTTTATATATAGTCCTGTACGAAGGTCTAAATCATCCATCAAACGACTTGAACATAAAATGCTTTTGTATTACCTTTTGTCCCAGATTGGCTCCATTAGAAATACGTAAGTTACAAAGCTCAAATCAAGACCCAGTGCAGCACTTCCATCCATCAAAAGCACCATGCAGCTTGCATCATGCTGAAACGTGGCCAATGATTTCATCTGCACCGGTGAAACAGAATCAATGCACACCTCGACACCAGCATCAAACCTAGGTATCTCTACGCGTTATGAACATGATAGAATTGAATGCCACACCTTATTACAAGCATGCATTGGACTATACATCCCAGCAAATCTGATGCCGGCAATGGTTAACTGGGCAAGGAGACACAATGCTAAGTTCAGATA